CTTACCAAAGCATTTACTCTGGTTGGTGGCACGGTCCACAAAGACTTTGGCAGAGATGACATTGCCGAAAGGCAAGAACATCTGCGTGAGCTCCGCGTCCCCGAACTCCTGGGGCAGGTGATAAATAAACAGGTTACAGCCCTCGGGACCTGGGTGACACACAAAGGACAGCCGCGCGTCAGCCGCAAGGCAGGGGGGACCCCGGCGGGGAGCTAGGAGAGGACGTGCCCGTTTTTTTTCCGTCCCCGCGGCGGGGTGCCCCCCACAACCCCTCACCTTCTCGCTGCTGCTGTGGGATGATGGGCGCTTGCTGGGGGAAGGCTTGGCTGATGGGTGCGTAGGCAGTGGGATACGCTGCTGGAAGAGAGAAACGTGGAGCTGAGACTCCGGCACCCACCCCGCTCCCACCACAGCCCTGGGAAGGGTTGGGGACAGGGATGTCCCCCGCTGCCACCCTCGATGGAGGTGCCTCTACAGCCCCAGGGCTGCTGGCTCTGCCCTTCCCACCCCTGCCGGCACGGACCCTGTCTCCCGGCACGCCCAGGATGCAGGAATGGCTCTCCCAGGACGGACGCTGGTGGCAGCAGTAATACGGCCTCAAGGTTGAGGAAAGCTGGCACTTTTGGTTGAAAAAAACCAATTGGGGGTCCAAAATTTGATTTTCTGTTGAAAATCTGAAAAATGCTGTTAGTGCTCCTAATTAAATGACTGCCAGGCTCGATGTACTTCCACAGGATGCTTTGAGTCCCTTCTCTCTGCATCCCATCTCCCTGGCCATTGGATTCGGCCACACGACGAACACCGGAGGATTTTTGATGTCTTGGTGCCTCCACGGCTGTCTCTACCAGTGGGCTGGCATGTGGGCAGGATCCAGCATGGAGCCAGCTCTCCATCACCGCCCAAACCTCGCCCCCTCTCCTGGGTACTGCCGCCAGCTCTCCCCCCCGGAGTTATCTCAGCCCAGCGGGCATTAAAATTCACTTTCCTCCATCCAAAATTTGCACGGAGGGCCGTGCCCGGGAGCGCATCCGTGTTGCTGGGGACGAGGGGACGGCGTTCTGCACCAGCGTCACCCCCATCGCTGCCCCAGGGTACGGCACACCGCGCTCGATGCATCACCGCGCTAATCCGTGCCCAAGCACGCTGCCCTAATCCTGTGGTTCAACTCGTCGCCAAAGGCGACGCTCACCCCCCAAAAATAAGGGTGAGGAGCAAAGAGGGGAGAGAGAAGAGAAGTGCAAAGCAAAGTTTGAGACCTGCATAGTGCTGCATGCCTGCGTAGGCTTGCTGGAGGGGATCTGCCACCGTGGGGCTTTGAGCTGGGAAGAGAAAAGGGAGAAGGAAGAGAGAATGAGCAAGAGAAACGCAGGGATGAGCAGCTCCCGTGGGAGAGGGCTCTCGGCCCAGCACCGCCACGGAGGGGCA